TCCCGCTCCCTCTGCTAGTAACGTGGGTGTAGGTCATTAACATCCCTCTCTGTGTTTGTTGAGTAGGAAGATTGCTCTACTCTTTCCGTTCAGCCGGTAGCTGGTAAAGGCTGTGTTCTCGTACCCGCGAGGACATTCGTTATGAACTCAACCAGTGAAGGCAGTGCATCACCCCCGCTTCTGGGGGGGACGGGCCCCGCTCACTCCAGAGGAGGCTTCCCACTCCTCTGCTCAGAGCTCTCTGCAGGGCACGGAGGACGCTTCCATGGCGGCCATTATTCGTGCGGCCCTGGTATGCTTGATATCACTGTAAAATTAATCGACACTAAGGAGAATACTTATTTCCGGGTGTAAAATTCTCCATTATCCAATGGGAATGGACGCTCACATTGCCTTTAACTGCCGCCGACATAGAGTGCCACAGTGACGCGTCCTAAAACCCGGAAGTAAGTTAGCACTTTACCAATTCCGGTTCCTTCGTCAAAAAAGTAATGCAATTTCTCCATAGGATTTTGGAAAATAGCTCGAAATAAGGTCTTTGGTTGACACACATTTAAGAGACGGATCACGTTTTGTTCTACGACATTAAATACATCAGCAGTGACCCCACTGGTGATTTTTGAAGAGTTTACGTGTCTGAAAAACGATGGTTTTTAACAAGTGGCTGAATAGGGCTACAGAAGTAGTCGAGGCCGTTTTACGTCATTACACCGAACACGTAAACACTCCCGCTAACTTTGTAGCCCTGTTCTGCTTGAAAGCAAGTACTTGCCTCCTGCAAACTGTTAAAACAAACGCTTCAACTTGTACAATTTTGAATCTGTAGTTTTGAATATGGATCTTAAGTTGGCGTGATGTTGAAGCAGCGATCCTGCTGTAGTTCGTTTATAGCATAACTTTAGCATTTTGCTTCTGGCGACTAGATTTATGATTCGAAAATTATAAAAGTAGGGTAAATATGTGGATATTATCCGGCTGAACAAAACGTGATCCGTCTCTTAAATGTGTCTCAACCACAGACCTTATTTCCAGCTATTTTCCAAAATCCTATGGAGAAATTGCATTGCGTTTTTGTCGAAGGAACCGGAAGGAGTTTACTTCCAGGTTTTAGGACGCGTCACTGCAGCCCTCTATTACAGCTGTTGAATAAACTCACCACACTGGGAGCCATGCCACGTGTGCTGACCCGCCTCTTCTTAGTTTTGGTGAGGGGGTTTGTCTCTGCTTTGTTGTGAGCGCCACTGATCTGGTTCACCTGCCTGTAGAAACCATCTGAGAGGAAGACATAAACATTGTCACACGCATGTATAAGAAAACTCATCATTATCCCAACAAGGTCTTATACATTTCAAAGGTTTAAAAACAAAGACTTGGTTCAACCAAACCCTAGAATACTTAATACAAACAAAACCTTTGTAATTGAAATGTTTGATTCATACCTTTTTTGCTGCACCTGGTGTCCCAGACCATAATATTTCCATCTCTGGCCCCAGTACAGAACACAGCTGTTTCATAGAAGACAAAGAATCAGTAATGTGACACAACAAAGCATCTGTTAAGCTAATGGTATCACATTTAAATAACTAATATCAAGCATCCATATTCTTTACATTGATTACTGCAGAAAAAAACACTTATTATCTTTAAATCTAACTTCCACATTTTTTTCCTGCCTAGCAAATGATTAATTCTACCAACAGATGAGGATGTTTAAACAGCCTGCTATAGCCTCAAAGTCAACCCACCAACACAGTGTTTTCTTGTGTCTTTTGAGACAGAAATGGGAACAAATGTCCCTTAGCAACAGAGTATTCAGGCACTATCTAGTTTACCTTTCTCCTGTGGTGCGAATGAAACAGACTTCAGGCTGCAGAGATGACCTTTGAAGCTGCCTAACATCTCCCCTGACCTCACATCCCACAGCCTGGCCATCTGATCACCAGCAGCAGTAACCTAAGGAAGACAATTTAACAATAACAATTATTTAAAGAAGGGTTTATTAATAAGAAAAAGGACAATTAGAATCTGCTTTATATGCTGCAAGTAGAACAAGAGTCACATCAAGACGGCAAAACCATGCAAAATCAATGAATCAACTTTTAAAGGAACATATATTTGATGCATTGACGGCTAATGCATACAACAAAAGAACATAGACATAGTAATTATGGCATTAATGACATTTTACTTACCAAGTGAGGCTCCCCCGGTACCCAGGCTATGTCAAAAACAGCGTTCTCATGGGCCATCCATTCTGTAAATAATTACACACAATCAGCTATACTTCCTGATAACTGTCTGAACTATTGTGAAAAAAGGGAGTTTCTACACATACCTTTTAGAAGTGGCTTCTCCCGGCTCTCTGTGTTGTAGATTCTAACAATGCCTTCTTCATTAGCTGCTGCCAGGACGTTCTGCATGTGTCCGACTGAAGAGAGACACACCAGTTAGATTGATATAAAAAGCAAAACAGATCCTAGCTCTGCTGTGTGTGAGGATAATTGACTATGTACTGAACACAGGTGGGTTACCAGAGGAGAAGGCCAGCCCAAACGGGGGCACAGAGTCCCCCAGGTTGCCGTAAGAGATGTGTTCATCGTGTCGGACGCAGTGGTACCCCCCCAGCAGAGAGCTCAGGGGGTGCCTCGGCCCGGGGTGTGCAAGGACGGCTGGAGAGACAAAAGGAGAAACATACTTGTAGTCAGACATTGTTCTAAAACTATACCAACTGATCCTTCAATCTGTGATTTTAGTACACAGCATTCAGAGATTCAATTACAGCATTTGTTTATTAAAGCTATCTGACAGCTGTTTTTACTTACTTTTTCCTGTTTGACTTTTTCTTCTGACATTTAAAAACAGTAATAAAAGCCTGGGCAGCAACTCAGTATTACAATTAATCTACTGTTAGTGGCATAATAAAGTAATGGTTGAATAATATAATATAATATTTTATTTACTCGCATTGTTGGAAAAGTACTGAGATCCTTTACTTACAGTAAGTCAAAGTACAATTATTATGGTCTTAAATTACTCAACTACAAGTCCTGATTTCAAATGCTACTTAAGTAAAAGTAAAAGAGTGTTAGTAATATGTACTTAAAGTACAGAAAGGAAAAGTACTCATTCTGCACAATGACACACTTCAGAATAATACAGAATATTATCAGCTAAACGTATTTCAAGTATCAAAAGTAATCCTTATGCAGAATGCATCTTTTCACAGTATTTTATTATTGTGGTTATTTTATTATCCTGTTTTTATACATGTAAAAGCATTTTAGTATTGTTGTTTGTCAATGTGGACTAAATGTAGGTATGGAAATACTGTGTAATAATAATAATAATAAATTATATTTCTATAGCGCTTTTCTTGAACTCAAAGACGCTTGTAGATTAGTATTACAGTACCCCATTATACCATATCAGCATATCATGTTTTTATATGTACAAAGTAGCTGTGAATATTAAAATAAGTGTAGTGGAGTAAAAAGTACATTATTTGCAATATTAAGGCTTTTTCTGAAAGCATCCATTTATAATGTGGCATGCTGTTACATTTGTACATGCTGTAGGCCTACAGTTTTACCTCTTTGATTGAGCACAATTGTATGTTATTTTTCCGACTGTTTTAAAGTCTCACTTGAAAATGAGTTCTCAATCACAATGTGACTTCCTGATTAAATTAAGTAACTCTATTTCAGACGTTACCCTTTTTAATGTAACATCACTTTACGTAATGTACGTGAACTAATGCCAATTTGAGGAACTACTTTAGGAACGTTTAATCATACTGCCATTGCAACAGAACTGTACACGTATTTAATTTGAATAAAAAAAACATTAAAGTAAGCTTGGAATACATTTGATCTTAGCCTATCTACATGAAGTTAGCACAAAACACACACAGGGCAAACCCGGGAACCGAAAAGCACCAGAAATAATCCCCAACAATATATGTTCTCACCATTCTGCCTTCGTTTGCCCACTCCTCTGTCAACTATCGAGCGGAACAGCATCGCTACACTCCAGTACAGGACGATCTGAAATTAATTTAGTGAGAAGTTTTCTCAGATGAGCTGGTGGTCTTTTTTCGTTGCTACTTCTGCTGGTGTTTCCCGCGAACAGTTCTGTGAACAGAGGACTGAATCCCCCGCTAAACCTGCGTTCCGCGCTCCCATTGGCTGAGAGCTGTGGCGCGTCCACTTCCGCTTCCTCCCTGTAAAGTTTGCCATCATAACCACCGACTACAGATCATGCTACAGATCGCATTACTTCCGATTTAAAAGTACGACTATCTTCTGACAGGCATTCATAATGGAATACTCACAGTGGGTCTATTTCTAAATCAAGATATGTTTGTATTACTTTATAAAGAACATGATGATACATTTAAAATACGACAGAAGTAGCCACGGTTGTTTATTTCTCTGAATATTTCCAGAAACTCTCGGAGTGTAGATCTATATTTCTATATCTATAATTTGAATATCATGTGGAAAATATTAGGACCAGCATATTGAAAGATAAGGCCTCAAACTTGAATATTAGTTACATTTACTGTAGGCCTGCCTTCATTTGACTGAATATAATATATATAATTAATGTGTGACATGGTGCCAACATTTCTGCTCTTCATGTATTCAAAACATATAGTACTATCCTATTCCTATCCTACTTGTAAGTTAATAAACATTGAGAATACAACACATATAACACAAATTCTGGCAACAACAAAAAAGGTTTAGAGAAATACAGTATTATTATTAAATGTAGTTGAGTAAAAAATAAATGTGATTGAGTCGAAAGACAAGGTAAGATAACATAGAAGTAGGCTGCCTTACATTTGAACGAAAGTAATTAACCGAATTATTGTTAACAAAGAAGAAAAATGATCAACAGTGAAATGATACAAAATAAAATGTGACAATGTTGTTGTTGTTTTATTGTGAAAACGAAAACTGCGCACCGGAAATAGAATCACTGCAACATCCGGTTTTGTGTACTCTCGGTCTGTACAATGAAATGCTAACGGCCCATTGGTGCTTTCAATCCTCTTTTTATTATTGAATAAAACTTAACAAAAATGTCGCTTTCTATTGCACGCACCTTCCTATCAGAGGCTTGTTATGGCGAACAAGAACTCGATGCTAATTCCGCTCTCATGGAGCTGGACAAAGGTGAGTTAGCTAACTTGCTAACTAGCTAGCATCAGTCGTGATCCTGTGTGATGGGTCTTAGTTCCCATGTGTCTGTTTTGCCAAATGTAAACTGCTTGAAGAGTCCCTGCTTTGGTGTGACCGATGAAATTGCTCATTTGTTCAGGGCTGCGGTCGACAAAGCTGGGAGAGCAGTGTGAGGCTGTGGTGCTTTTTCCCAAACTCTTCCAGAAATACCCTTTTCCCATCCTCATCAACTCTGCATTTCTGAAGCTGGCAGACATCTTCAGACTCGGGTAAGAATGCTTTATAACTTGGTATTCAAACAGTAACATGTCCATTAACCTAAAAACAAAACATCAAGGGTTTCTAAAGTTGACCTTTCTCCATTTAGATGTAGCAAACTGACAACTGTCATACAGGTATAAGTCTTCAAAAGTATTACCTACATGTAACCTGGAGAAAGTGATTGATTTTAAAAGCCTCTTTTTAAAACGACCCTTCAAAGACGGGCAGCAACACATTTAATAATCTTGCAGACATAAAAATACATTACAATATAAAATGTAAACAAACAAAAAATACGAAAATATATAGTTAATCAGCATTTTCAAGTCATTAACCTAAGTCACCAATTAATCAAAACAGAGAACATCATTGTCCTTACTTTTTGGAATGATGTTATTCAGTAGGTACAATGTATCAGCAAATATTGTACAAATACATATTTTAAACATGAACAGATTAAAAGGTTTCAATAAATAACCATTTACCACATATTTTGTGTCTTTACTACTGGTTTTACTATGGTATATATCTCTTTATTTACATTTTTTTTAAATGTCTCTCTGATTTCAGGAACAATTTTCTGCGTCTCTGTGTGCTGAAAGTGACTCAACAGAGCGAGAAACATCTTGAAAAGATCCTCAATGTGGACGAATTTGTCAAAAGGGTGTTTTCAGTCATCCACAGCAACGACCCTGTGGCCCGAGCCATCACTCTGAGGTAAATATGCGTGTACAAAAACAAATAATATTTGAACTAAAGTTTTGCTGGTTGGCTTCAGATTTACATAAGAAATAAGAGATATCCTGCAATGTTGTACTACTCTTTACATGCTTTCCAGATTATTTGAGGCTTGAACTCATCTATTTTTGTTTCTTTTCAGGATGCTCGGTAGTTTGGCCTCCATCATCCCGGACAGGAAGAATGCCCACCACAGTATTCGCCAAAGTCTGGACTCTCATGACAATGTAGAAGTGGAGGCTGCCATATATGCTGCTGCAAGCTTCTCAGCACAGTCAAAGTAAGATTGTTTCCTTACCCGTGCTGTGATGCATAAATACTGTATGTGATGATGTTTTGTATAAAATAGATTTGGTGTGTTTCCTGATTTTCAGAGACTTTGCAGCGGGGATTTGCAACAAAGTCAGTGAGATGATTCAAGGTAAAATCTTTATTCAGAACTTAAAATCTCACATATCACTTTTAGTAAAAAAAAAGCTTTACATATTACCTTTTTTCAGCATTGAATATTTGACAATTTTCCAAACAAAAATGAAAAACGTAAACAAAAGCCTAAAATTGTCGATTAATGAGAATTTCATCTACAGACGTCATAATATAACCAACTTTTTCAAACGTTCTTTAATATTTACAACTGTTTTTAAACAAACAGGCATTCAAATGTGATTATTACATGACTTAGTTGAATACTCGATTCTGATTGGTCAATTCAGAACACGTGACACGTTGTTAATCCAGAAAAGACAGACCGCTGTCAAGGGTTTATTGACCGTTGTTAAGGACGCTCACATCTGCACAAAGAAGTTCGGTCGATTTAACTGTATACACGCGTCGGGCTCCTGATCTGCCTGTCGGGTGTTCTTTCCCCCATAATGACCGCCTCGCTGCACATTATCCCTTACTTTAGTGTACACACTCTATTTGATAATCAAAATGAAACGCATACATTTGATTTTACATTCACCAACGGAAGATGAATGTATGGATATTTGCAACCACCACTAAGAGATAGTGAATACAAATTTAACAAAATCCACAAATAATTTACCTCAATAATCACTGTTCAGCAGATCAGTGTTGGTTTGTACATTTATTTTGTATCTATAGAGTTTACATTCCTCTTCCTCCTTTGTCTCCACTCAGCTTTAGACACCCCGGTGGACCTGAAGCTGAAGCTGATCCCGATGCTGCAGCACATGCATCACGACGCCAGCCTGGCCTCCAGCAGCAGAGAGCTGCTGCAGCACCTGGTCAGCTCCTACCCCTCCACCCCCATGGTCATCGTCACCCTGCACACCTTCACCCAGCTCGCTGCCTCCTCCCTCATCGATATCCCAAAGCAGGTAGAACAATAACAGAGCTCCACCTCGTTCACACATTCAAATGTTTGTCTTTGAATATTGGATTTCATTTTATTACCACTGTCTCTATTAGTAAGATCTGGACTCTTCTACCTTTTTAGATTTGGAGACATTTGCTGCCTGTGATGCCCTGTCTCCTCTTTCTTGTGTTTCTTCAATTGTTCTATCCAAAAAGGAAAAAAATCTAAATTGTGTACTTTACATTTTTTGTATTTCTTTATCTATACAGTTGCAGCTCCTCCTTCAGTACCTTAAAGACGACCCACGAAAAGCTGTGAAGAGACTCGCCACTAATGATCTGAAGCTCCTGGCTAAAAAGGCTCCTCACCTTTGGATCAGAGAGAACACTCAGGTAGAGTCACAGCTGCACCGTCGGACCGTCTTAATGTTGGTTTCAAAATGTGTAGGTCATCTAAAGTGTTTCTCCTCGGCAGACGCTGTGTGAGTGTGCCCTGAGCAGCCCTTACAACAGCCTGAAGCTGGGGATGCTGGCCGTCCTCTCCACCCTCTCTGGAACCATCGCACTCAAGCAGTACTTTCACAATATGACGGGTACTTTTGGCTTTTAATTAGCTAAATGTCCTATGTAAGAATTGTAATGGAAAGTTGTTATAAAACGTTTCAACTTTCTCCCCCTTGTGACCAGGTTGCTTTCCCTTTTCCTCAAAGCCTAAAACGACACATTGTACATTCCGACCAGCAGGGAGAAAAGCAAGAAATATATTCATGAATTGTTATTTATTTTCAATTCTGTTCAGAGTAGTCTCAGTCCTCTTCATCCAACCGTACGCGGTCTCTCCCTCTCCTCTTGCCCTGTGCGTAGGCCGCCTCTCCCTCGTTGCACACATCGAGCTTTATGCAAATGAAAGCCTGATGGTGTTGCCAACATGCAAATGAGCAAATGACTTTTAGGAACTTCTGCAGTTAGTGCTAGGAGTTGGCAACACGGCAAAGGACACACTGCACATTTTTAACTCATGTTTGGGCTATTCATATTTACTCAATAATAATAAGTTTAAATGAAAATGTGTATATTGACACTTAAACCATGCTTTAATTGCAGGTTTGTTCTGAATGAGAGAAAGACTTGCGACTAATGAGTATTCCTCCAACTCTTTTCCCAGGTGGCTCTTCGGTTCCCCCCCGGCTCACAGACCTGGTTAAACTGGCACAAGAATGCTGTTACCATAGCAACCTGGCAGTGGCTGCTCATGGGATCGTAGTGCTCTCGAACATCGCTATTTCCTGTCCAGAAAAAGGTTAGTGATGGCAAGTGGTGTAGTGTCCGTGGTGAGGATTTCTGCCTCTAGCATAAACCATCGCTCCTGTGTGCGTAGACTCAAGAGGTTTCTCAATACTCTAATTTCCCCTCCTCGGCTCCTTTCCTCGACTCCTCTCCTCGAAACTTGGTGCCGCCCACAGGAGATGCGAGCGGAGCACTGAGGAGGGAGGAGTGGAAGCAGCAGGCGGTTAGGGAAATGAGAACTCCTCTCCTCTGAGCGGTCATTTTAAAGAGACGTCCATTAATGATGACAGTAGGCACAGCAGCCCTCTGTCTGATGGACAGATGTGTTCATGACGACTTATATATATCTACTTTAATTCATTGACAGTGCGGTATAACGAGACAATAACAGGCTACAGATGCGGACATATACACACACATATATTTATATATACAATTTCAGAATCAAACAAGTATGAGAGCGCTCTCATAATACTAATACACACTGTACCACACACACACCTACACACTGTACAACACATACACCTACACAACACACACACCTACACACTGTACAACACACACCTACACACTGTACAACACACACCTACACACTGTACCACACACACACCTACACACTGTACCACACACACACCTACACACTGTACCACACACACACCTACACACTGTACCACACACACACCTACACACTGTACCACACACACACACACCTACACACTGTACAACACACACCTACACACTGTACCACATACACACACACCTACACACTGTACCACACATACACCTACACACTGTACCACACACACACACACACCTACACACTGTACCACACATACACCTACACCAACACACTGTACCACACATACACCTGCACAACACACACACCTACACACTGTACCACACACACCTACTGCTCCTAAATCATAATCAGGCTACAGCCGTTGTGTATTTTATTATGTGAAGCACTAAATGGTTTTAGAAAAATATTGACTCTTTGTTTGTAGATATCTACTAAACTACATCATACAAATACAGAAAGTAATGTAGGCCTGTTATACTGAGTGATATATATTTTACACACTGCTCTGCTTTCTGCACGGACCTCACAGCTGTTCTCACTGTAAACATCGCGTTGCGATGAAAGCAGTTACTAAAATAATATCCAGGGGATGCATGCAGAGCTGTCATTGGCTGAGATAAGTCCGGCCGTGAGTCACGCCTCCACCGTTCCTGGAAATGCATCCGTGGAGGAGCCGTGGAGGACCCATCAGTGTCTCCTCGGTTAGAGCTCCTCCAGAGAGCCTCCTCGATGCTCGATGCTCGGTCCTCGGTCCTCGAAATGCATTTAGAGAAATGAGATGTCTTTCAACATGGCGCGCTGAAATTCATTTTCGGGTCACTACCGGAGGACCGAGGAGTCGAGGAGGGGAAATTTGAGTATTGAGAAACCTCTTCAGTGTTTCTGTGTGGGATTTTTCGACCATATATTACCGATAAAACGTGTAGGAAAGTTCTAAAGGGTTTCAAATAACTGTATAGTACTATGTGGTTGATCCCACATCACATATGGTTTACTCTATTTTTGCAGCTCCCCCCAGCGTCGAAGGCGACCAGCTTCGTCACGCCTCCAATGTTCGTGTGGGAGCATAGTTATAGCACACATGAGGTGGTACATTTGACACGTTACAAGACACTGTAAAGAATAAGTGACGCATCCGACCCTATGCTACGACATACTTCCTCCCATATGTACTGTCTCATCCCACACTACTCTATCACGCACACATTTCATTCCACGACAGTTGTCATCAACTACTAAACGTCCCTCTTCAGTTCACAGTCTCAGGGTTTTGTTTGGTAACGACTTATATCGAATCTGCAATCTCATGAACACAGTCGGAATTACTAAATAGACATCCTATGGGGTTTCGAAAATTTTCTTAGGAATTGGATTTCATAATAAATCTACAAGAATCTTACTTTCCGGCATTCAACTCAACAACGAGAACAAAACGTGCTAGCCGAGCGCTACGCACACTTATCCAGCAAACATCGCTGGCCGCTGCATCTCTCCTACAGCAAACACCTAACATCTCTAGTCAATGCCTCATAGGAGCCCAACTATAACAAACCATAATATATAAAGATAGTACCTGGAAGAATGAAAGCAGCAGCGGGGGATAAAGACCCATACGAGAGAATAGCGAGGAGCTAGTGAAGTTGTTTATTATTGTCGGTAACGCTTTCGATGAGTTGCTACGGCGTCTGGTGCGTTGAAGGCCAGTCCTGGCACCATCCAACGATCTTTATTATTCATATAACCTCTCACTACTTTCCTGGAGTCATTTACAAGTGTGTAAGCTGTGTCGTGTGTGTACGGATGGCCACTATTGTCAGGAGCATGAGCGTGAGAAGGGATGCGGCCTCGACGAAGGCTGAGTCTCGTAGCTAGTTGGTGGTGAAGACTTTCTGACAGGGTTATC